GCGGCCACCGAGGCGCCCACGACCAAGGCCGAAGCCAAAGAGACGACGCCGGCGGCCACCGAGGTGCCCACGACCAAGGCCGAAGCTACGCTCACCCCCGAAGCCAAAGAGATGACCCCGGCGGCCACTGAGATGCCGGCCACCGAGGCCCCCACCACCAAGGCCAAAGCTACGACTCTTTCTGAAACCAAAGAGACGATCCCAGTGGCCACTGAGGCGCCCACGACCACCCCTAAAAACAAAGGAACAACAATTTCACCCATCAAGGCTTTCACAACTAAGGCAGATGCTCCCATTACCCTTAAAAAAGAAGAGACCACCCCTATACCCACCAAGGCAAGCACAGCCAGGGCAGATGTTCCCACCACCCTCAAAACCAAAGAGACAACCCCTGCTGGTACTGAGGTACCCACAACCAAAGGTGATGTTCCCACCACTCCAAAAAGCAAAAAGACAACTCCTGCAACCCCTGAGTCCACTCCAGCCAAAGTAGATCCTCCCACCACACCTAAACACAAGGAAATGACCCCTGCACTCACTGAGGTAACTACAACCACCAAGGCAGAAGACACGACCACTCCTAAAGAGACCACCCCTATAACCACCAAGGCAACCACAACCACCAAGGCAACTACAACCACTCCTAAAGAGACTACCCCTACAACCACGAAGACTACCACAACCACCAAGGCAGAAGATACAACTGCTCCTAAAGAGACCACCCCTACAACCACCAAGGCAACTACATCCACCAAGGCAACTACAACCGCTCCTAAAGAGACCACCCCTACAACCACCAAGGCAACTACAACCGCTCCTAAAGAGACCACCCCTACAACCACCAAGGCAACTACAACCACCAAGGCAACTACAACCGCTCCTAAAGAGACCACCCCTACAACCACAACCACGAAGGCTACTACAACCACCAAGGCAGAAGGTACAACACCTACAACCACCAAGAAGACTACAACCACCACCCCAAAAAAAGAAGAGACAACTCCTGCAGCCACTGAAGCAACCACAACCAAGGCAGATATTCCCACTACCCGTAAAACCAAGGGGACAACTGCTACAACCACCAAAGCAGCTAAAAAGATTACAACTCCTGCACCGAGAGTGACCACCACCACCTCTGGAGAACACATGACTACAGCAGGACAGAAGCAAGTAACAAAACCAGCTAAACCCATAGTATCTGAAGAGCCCCTCGGTTTTGATAAGTCAGATGAGGAAAACAGAGCAACCACCATGGCCACAGTCTCAGAAGGTAAAGATACCACCACAAGAGCCAAAGAGATGGTAACGAAAGCTACACCAGACCGAACTACCGCAGGCAAAAAAGTCAGTACAACAGCTAAGACAGACAGGACTCCAGTAAGCAAAGAGATAGCAAATAAAAAAGAAACCACCACAGCAAAAAAGGAGGTAACCTCCACTACGGTTAAGGAAACCACGACTCTTATCAAAGGTGCCACCACAGGCACGAAGGAAGGAGCTGCTGGTACCAGTAAAGAGGCAACAACAGCTAACAAAAAAGAGGCCACCACTAAAAAATCTCCTGCTACCATCACAGCAGATAGGAAGGTCACAGTTGAGGAAGTGCTGGTCGTTCCCAAAGGGACAACCAAGCCGGCGGCGCCATCCAGCTCCCAACCTCTGCCCGTATCAAAGGGGCCTCAGAGAGATGCAAAGCCTTTGAAACAAGCCGGGAATGTCCCAGCGGGGATGGGGGGAACACAAGGCAACTGCTTCCCGCTAGGCACCAAGGTGCCCGCGGAGAGGCGCCCGGCGAGAGGTCCGGCGGGCAAGCGGCCCGCGAGGCCCTTCCGCCGCGTGCCAGGACCCCACCGCGGCCACCCGCCGGCGGCGCCCGCCATCCTCACCGTCGGTACATCGCTTTCCAGCTGCCCCGCTCCCGAGCTTTTCCACGTCTTCTAGAGCCTGCTCTTACCGCAGCACTTGGCTGTTAGGTTGTTAGCAGCTGTTTAGTTGTTAGAGGGTAGGGCAAACAAGGAGGTCCAGGAGAAAGAGAGGACTTTCCCATCGCACAAGTGGCTGCAATCACAGTAGCAAATCTGGCGGTTTATGGTCACGTACATTTAAAAAAGGGGAGGGAAAAAGAAAAAAAAAGAGAAAGAAAGATTTTTCCCCCTTTTTTTTTCTTCTTTCCGCTCTTCATTTTCCCCTTATACATGCCATTGGTATTTGTTTAATATCGTACAGCTCCTAGGTTCTTCCTCAAGCATATACTGAGAGGTACTTTGTGAAGAAAGTAGGTTTATGCTTAGAGAAACAAAGAAAAAGTAGTTTTGATCAAAACATCCATGCTTCCTTCTTATTTAACTGGAAGTAAATGTATATTTTTAAGAAAGTTACTTTTAGGAAATAAAGGGGAACAGGGAATCCACTAAGAAAGCTTGGAAAAAAAAGCATCAAAAAAGTCATCAATAACCATGAAAAAATTAAATAGAAAACATAGCACGTGGTACCACTAAGTATGAGGAAAGTAAACATGAAGAAATAATGCATAAAATTACAAAACATGAGAAAAATAAGCACAAAATATAGCACATAGAGCACTTGCAGGCTTACCTTTCTTTGGTGCGCAGGTGCTGAGGTAAACGGCTCATAACCGACCACATATGCCCCCATTCTATAAACCCTCGATTTTTACATGCCTGAAACACTGAACTTCTCAAGGATTTACCTCAAATGAGTAATTACACTAACTTGCACCCAAGAATCACATGGAGGCCTGAACTGGAACCCTAAACTAGGATTACTTTCCACATACTTTTATGCATTTAAGCAAAAGCAGGGCAGGGGAAATGAAAAGGTGTGTAATTTCTTTAAAAATAAGAAAAGGACACTCTTTTTTTGTTGTTTTTCAGCAAATATAAAAGAGGAAAAGAACCTGTGCAACGGGCAGCCGGCGGACAGCGTGGTGGCCCTGCAGAACGGGACGCTGGCCGTTTTCCGAGGTGAGGTGATCCGACACGACGCGACGGGCGGCCGCCTCAGCGCGGGCGCCCGGGAGCCCGCCCGGCCCCTCGGTGCCACCTCCTCTCCCCGCAGGTCACTACTACTGGCTGCTGAACGGACGGAGGCCACCGACGACCGAGCCCCGACGCATTAGCGATGGCTGGGGCGTCCCGTCGCCCATCGACACCGTCTTCTCCCGCTGCAACTGCGACGGGAGGACCTTCTTCATCAAGGTCTCCTCTTCTGCTCGCGCGCTGAGGGGCTGCAGCTGCTGAGGGCACCTGGTGCTTCCCATGAGCCCTGCAGCCCCCACCCTGCTAAAACGCCTGATTGAAGGCAGCTGTGCTCACCAAATTGCTAGTGCCAGCCTTATTTTTGACCCTAAACCTCCTCTTTTTCTTCACGCTCAGGGCGCTCTCTACTGGCGCTTCACCAATGGCTTGATGGACGCCGGCTACCCCAAGCCCCTGGCCAGGGGCTTCGCGGGGCTAAGCGGGAAGATCGTGGCAGCCCTGCCCGTGGCCAGGCACCACAACCGCCCCGAGTCCGTGTACTTCATCAAGAAAGGTAGCGCTGCAGGGCGGGAGGCAGGAAAACAGCCCTTCTTGCCCCCGAGGGACCCGGTCCCTTCAAAAAGAGACCAGGTGTTTCCTTAACGCAGCTGAAGGATGTACTACCCCTCAAGAATTCTTGCCCAATTTAAGAAAAAAATACATTTATATAGATAATAGTCATAGGAGTGGGTACAGAAATTTAAAACTGCTTTTAGATCTTAGCAGAAGCATTGAAACACTGTTCTTCTCATGCCATCAATGACATCTTCGCTTCCACTTCAGTGTTTTAATTTTTTTTTCTTCAAAGGTGGCAAAATACAACAATACATATACAAACAAGAAGCAGTCAAGACTTGCAAAAACAAACCCCGGGTTACCATAAAATACCCAGCGTATGTCCCGACCCTCGTCATCAGGAGACGCTTCCAACGTGCAGTGAGGTTGCAGGCTTTCCACACTGTCAGAATCAACTCCCATCCAGCTGGTAACTTATGTTTATTGAGGTTTTTTTTTTTTTACAGCTGTTTTAATCACAGTGGCTTCTCAAAAACAACATTTTGTTCCATTTCTTAATACAGTACTTATTTTTCAGGCTCATGATTCTCTTCTGTATATTATACAAGCAAACGATAGCGTATAGACACATGGTGACATCTCCTAATTCAGTTTTCTTTTGCTTGCAGAAGTCTTACGTAAGGAAGTTAAAATCACTTCCTACTGGAGAGGACTCCCAAAAATAATTCACTCAACCCTTTCAGTACCAAACTACAATAAACCAGACGGCTACGACTATTATGCCTTCTCCAACAGTAAGTTAAAGGGAGTTACCATAGTTCAAAAGACTAAAGGGATGGGTAAAGTAAGACACTTATGTGTTTCCAAAATGTTTGAAGTATGAAGTTACTGTGATTCTGCAAGATCAATGTTAAATGTGAACCTTAAAAGAAACAGTTAAGGCTTAAAGGGGAAAAAAAGAAGGGGCTTGGAGGAGCTGGGGAATGACACTTAGATGCATAATTAAATTAATGACAGACTGAGATCCTTGGACTGTTATACTGACAGTTTTGTTAGGTGCTTCTATGGAACTATGTTTCTGACAAAACAAAGCAAAAAAGCAAAAACAAAACCCAACCCCACAACATACTAGCTATATCCAAATACAGGATGCTAAAGTATGTCATTTCCACTACAATATAATTCCTAACGTTAAAAAAAGGAGGCTACTTCATACCTGGGGACTGGAAAAGTCCCACTCTTATAAAAGTCAGTTTAGGATCGTCTTATTTCTAGCTTGTTTGGTTTCTAAATTCTACAATCTAATACTGTGCTCCAGCAGTGTAAGTGCATTCTCTCCTAGTCCCTGTTCTTGGGCAAGACTATTAATAGCACTAAAAAATCTTTGTTAAATACAAAGGAATGCCTCTGTCTCTTTCTCTCTCCTTAAAAAAACCAAACCCCCCCCCCCAAACCTCAAATGCTAGGCTAAAAATTCACATTTAGAGACTCTTTCAACTCCAGATATGAAGAATGATAAACCTACCAGTCATGCCAAACTGAAAGGAAAAGGAAGGTTTTAACTTCAAGATGCAGAAGTCTTTTCATACCACATGTGGTTTCTGGAATTTAATTCTCACATTTCTTCATTTCAGATCGGTACTACAGTTTGGACGTGGGCAGCAAAACAGCAACATCAGTTACTTATCTCACTGGAAAGACTGTAACCAAAGACTGGTACAACTGTCCTAAGTGATGCATACCACAGGATGTTTCTTTTTTTTTTTAAAGAAAGATGACATTTTAGTATTAAGTTTGTCTGATTTTATTAATAAAGACATTGAATTGTGTGCACACATCTAAGTATAAAATGCAGCTTTGAGCTCTGCTTTCATTACACTAAAGCAACCTCAGGCAAACTGGCACTTTTTATACACAGCTGTCACAACTTTACAGACCATTTAACTAATATTGCCTCTGTTCAGGCCTCCTCTGCCTCCCATTGCATGAGTGACACCTGTGTTAGGAAAGAAAACACATGAGTTAACAGAAGCCCTTTTCACCCCCTTAAATCACACATTGGCCTATGTGCTGCTTGATTCTTCTCCAAGTAAGTACTAATGCAAGGGGACACTTCCTTTCCAGGAAAATACAGTCTCCCTCTTCCTCCCCTCATGCCTGTGATACAGATACATTATTGTTTTGCCATCTGAGAAAGACAGTTGTTGAGTTGTAATCCTCCAATATAGCCATTAGAAACTACTACAGCATTTTCAATCCTATCTGCAAGCAGTGAGCTCCTCCTTAGGATTAATAAAGAAATGGTGATAGACTAGGAAAGATCTTGAGCTACCCCTAACTCCTCATATTTTAAAAGAAATACTAGATCCATACATTTCAGCACTAATGCCTACATATCAATGTTGTTAAAATAATGCCAATCTAAATACATTTCATGGGAGGATTTTTCTTAAAACAGAAGTTAAATCACCCCATGTTTTTCTGCTTTAATTCTATAATGCTATAAAAATTAAATATTTTCAATATATTTTCTACATATATATTTATATCTAAACAATAACTAAATAATTTAATGACTTATTTCCACTTATGAAATGGAGAATATGAACTTACGATGGGAAGCTAAGCTCTAAATTCACAAACCAAGAGCTCCAAAGTTACATCCAAACATTATTTTTTGAGTTTTATTTTTTTGTTGTTGTTTTGGTTACACTTAAGATCTACTGCCATTCTCTTTTTTCAAATGCTGCTCAGGCTAACAAAACAACATGAACCCTACCTATTTTACTTAAAGCTAGTGCAAAGATGCTGCATTATTCAATATATTACCAGTAATCACTAACACTTAAAGCAGTACCATATATATGGTCACCAAAGGGAGAAACTATTAATAATTGATTTAAAAGAAAAAGAGCAATGACAAATACTTACCCCTCTGTCTGTTGAACTGACGACCACGAACACTGGTCCTTAATGTGGGTGGCTGAAGTCTGACGCGGCGAATTGTCTTAGGCTGATTAGTACTTGTGTCTGCAGAGAGAAAACAACATAGGAGAGAACGTCTGGCACCTGGTACACTGGCACTCTTGTTGTTTACATGGCTTGTATTTACTTTAAAGTTACCAATGTGCATTGAAATCTCACAATAAATAAAAACCTGTTAGTTTTGCATCTCTTTTCTATCTGTGCTAGTAAATCAATAACGAACAGTGATTTACTTACTGCTCTCTTGACAACTTAACTGAATGACAGTCTTTTTTAATTTGACATCAAAAGTAGTATTGGAAAGAATTATCAATGCATCAAGTAAATTTTGCTCCTGGAAGCATTATTCTTACTACAACCAACTCCAGTTTCTGGTATCCAAATAAAATATGACTTGCCATTAAGACTAAAGGCACCTAGATGTGTTCTTGCCCTAAACTCTAAGGTTTGCCATCTTATTTTGTAGATCTTTGCTATCAACAGTGCATAATACCGGTTCAAAAATTCCCACACTAAGTCAAAACGCAAGGAACAATCTGTTCCAGCAATAAACTAGTACCTGCAGATGAGCTAGAAGGAGGATCTTGACTAGTAGAAGGAAGGTCTGACTCATCAGATGCTTGAACAGCTTCTTCTTCTTGTTGACTATCAATTTCCAGACTAGCTTCTGAAGTAATTCTATGAGAGAAAAAAAGAGGGAAAAAAAACACCACATAGGTTTGATGTGCATAATGTCAAAAAAGCTCACAAAACAAGCTTTTTAGTGCATAAAAATATCTATCCAAGTGTCCTTCCCTAGAAATTTTCATAGGCTTTCTCCTCCTTTATCCTGTTTCACCATCCTCAACTATGAGATTAAAAAATACCTATATATGTATATATTTTATATATACCTATATATATAAAGTATTTTATATATACCTATATACATATAAAATAAACAACAATATCATTTTCTTGATACGCAGCTCAGTTCAATACAGATCTTGACTTTTAGAGTGCAAGTCTTAGTTAATCCATCAAGTTATAGGTTACCCTTCAGATTCTGCCTCTGCAAAGACTTCATCCCCATCATCCCCGGGTCCAGACTCCGTAGTTGTGGAGAGGCTGCCAGTAGAGGTCGTAACCATTGGAACAGACTGGGAAGCGTGTTCGGAAGCGTCCGCTGACGTGCTCTCTGTAAAAACCGTCACTGTACAGGCAAGACAGGTAGGGAACAGGGAGTTATTTTGTACTTCCCGAAGAAAATGTATAGAAATCTAGGGTACATCAAGGAGAAGGCAATAGGAATAATCTTGCTGTACTGATGAGCAGAATGATTTTAATTCTCTTCTGGAAAAATCAAGGTTTCCGGTCTTTGCATCCACTCACCTGGTGCTGCTACTTGCAATGGTGTTGTTGGGACACTACGACCACCTGATTCTTCCTCATGAGCAAGGAAGAGGGGGGTTTCATACATTCCTAAACCTGCAATACACGAGGTTTTAATGACAATTAAAATAACCAGCTAAAGTCAATTTCTATGCACCTGTTGAAATACAGAGCATTGTACTTAGTGAGATTTTAGATATTTAAATAGCTTTTAACTTACGTTACTTTTTAGTCTTTTATTTTTTTTACTCTATTACTGTGCTGTGAGCTTCCCACAAAGAACAACCAACCTTTTCATGTTGACAAGAATGCAAAGAAAAGGACCTGATTCAGGACAACAGCAAAGACAAAGACAAGTTTTCCGGTCCTTACCTAGGTCCTTTAACTTAGCAGGTAAACATTTACCCCAAAGATTTATTTGCATTTCCTGTTTTCCATTATTATTTTACTCTAAAAAAACTATAATCAACATGAAAACTGAAGTAAAAAGCTATTCTTTCAGTATTTTAATTCTGCTCAAATGATATTTCTCCTGTTCACTAGGCCATGTGCCCTGTAGATGGTTTCAGCTAACTACACCTCTCTGATTTAAATTTTAAATAAAAGGTGCTACATTTGAAACTATGGAAATAAATATCACAAGTGGCAGTCTAGTAGCCTGAGGGAAAAACCTTTTCCATTAGTCTTGCTCTCTCCTAATTAACAGCTGGTTGAGCAGGTTTACACATTGCAACAAGTCCTCAAAACTGTGTTACTTCCTGTTGACAAAAATTCTCTTGTTGTCACTCTAACCGCCATGGAGAGGAGTTTAGAACATCTTTACCTCCTTGCGATGCAAGTTGCCCAAGATCAGAGTGGCTGGAACTAGTCTGTGGCATATCTTCAGGGGGACCAAATCTGAATCGAGGAACTCCAGCAACCTGAGGGGAGCTACCAAAATAAAGATGTAAATAATTTGGCGATTTTGCTGGTGATGAGAAAAGGAGCAACTTTCCAACAAGAGAATAAAAAAATAAATTATAGACAAGACAAATTAAAAATGACTATATAAGCATTTCAGCTGTTATTACTTAAATTCAAGTTAGTTTCTCAAGATTATCTGGACTGATTCAGCAGAGCAAGTCACTTTCAAGGAGAATAGTTTTTATTTGTCCTGCTGTGAGTTCTCATTTTTAAGTGGCCTGTAGAATTTGACCCAAGACTCTAACAGCCCCAAGTTGAGATGAACTTCTCCTACTTTAAGTGGTCAATAACTTTAGTATTGCAAAACCTCTCCTTTTGTTACAAACTCTTAAAATACTAATACTGCAGGTGAGAGGAAATAAAATAGCCTTACTTTTTGCTAAATGTCATAGTTAAATTACATCCTTCTTAAGTGACAATACATTGGAGATGACTTCCCACCTAATTTGTTGATAAGTTTTACGATCCACAATTCAAACAATTTAAACTGATTTGTGGATGCAGTGATATAGCTAATGTAAAACTATTTAGCATCTAACTCCCATCAAAAATTCAATTCACTTGATTTTATCTTCATTCCACTGAAAAGAGAAAGTCAAAAACGCCTCATTTTGTAAATACTTACTGAATAGCTTCTGCAAATCCATCTGTACGATGCGGTACTACAAGAGTTGGTGTGCTTGGAACTGTTCTATCCTCATCATCAAAGAAATGCTGCTGCTGGAAAAAGAAAGACTGAGATGAGAGGCTACGATGTATTTCAAGTTTGTATCATGCTGGCTTAAAGGCTGGTTCTCTTTTTCCTAAATTCTCTAGCAAAATATAAATAAAGACATTTAATTCTTAAAAAAACCCTCTTTCTCCCCTTGTTCGTCCAACCATCAATTTGTTTGTCAAATTTGTTTGAAAGTGGATGAAGGGTTCAAAATTAGCTGAAGGAGATGGACAGAAAGCATAACTAAATGAACCATGCTACCTTAAGGATCCTATTGAAACATATCCACTTAATATATTCACTGCATACCCCTGAAGATTATTTACTAGCCTTGTTTGACAAACAAACAAAAATAAAACAAAAATAAAATAAAAAACCCTCAAAAGTCATAATTGCTCCCTCAGTGCAAGTTCTTAATGGCAGGCTTTCAAATACTCACCATCCCACCTATCCCAGGAGTCAGCTGAAGTCCACGTCCCACTGACTGCCTTCGAGTCATCTGGATTCTCTTTGTAATTCAAGAGAGAGAGAGAACATGTACACATTAATGGAGATTCAAAATTTATTTCAAGTGACTAATTTACCAAAATTCTTCTTGCAGCAGTTTGCTTAAATAGTCTGTGGGCAAAGATGATTGAACTTTTTTCATGTACATGAGATACATGCACAAAATTTCATGTGTATCCAAACTACTGGAGATATTTGATAACATATAAAAGGATC